TAATTGTCTTTGAATGTCTTAGTCTTTAATGTCTGTCTCCTGAAAGGAGAAGAGTGAAAAATGAAATGCAGGCAGGGAGGGGAAAGGGGACTGTTGTTTAAAACTCTGGAAGTCACTTGTTGGGGAGAGGCTTACAACAATGGGGAAAGATGCAATAACCAGATGTCCACTGGCCTCTGCTCTTCTGTGATCAGAAGCAGCAATCAGCTATTAGCACACAAATCCTGATATTTGTAGGACAGGATCTCTTTTCTCTGATGTTTGGAGGACAGGGTCTTTTTTGCCCAACCTAGCTTCCTCAAGCTGTTTGTAAGTTGCTCCAGGAACGTGTGCACAGCTGCCCACCTCATGGGTAGGATGCATAGCTGCTATTTTGCTAAGAGCTGAATGTATCCAAAACTTACCATCCAGGTCTCTGGAACTCTGGAAGTTGCAAGCCTTAATAGACTCTAGAGTTATAAAACAGTCACATCAAACAGATCATGCCAATGAAATTGCTGTCTAGGTTGGGAGACAGATTCCTGGTGCTTTCTATTCCACCATCTTCCCAGAATCTTTCCCTTTACTGAGTTTTGAGTGTTTTTAAAAATATATAGTTTAGATACAAGTCTTTTATTATATAAGATCTGCAAATATTTTCTGTCTGTGGCTTGGCTTTTCATTCTCTTTAACAGTGTCTTTCAAAGAGAAAATGACTTAAATTTTGAAGAAGCCCAATTTACCAGTTCTTTTATAGATTGGGGTTGTGGTGTCTTATCTTAGAAATCATTGCCTAACCCAAGGTCACAAAGATTTTTTCTCTTTATCTTCTAGCACTTTTATAGTTTTAGGTTTTATCTTTATGTATAGGATACATTTTGAGTTTTTATATATGGTTTATCGTATACATATATATGTGTGTATGTGTATATATTGCATATGGATATCTGATTGTTTTGCCCTTTTTTCAATGCATTGTCTTTGCATCTTTGTCCATATATAAATAGAACTGTTTCTAGACTCTTTTTTTCTGGTTCATTGATCTGTTTATCTTGATGCTGTTACCACACTACCATACTGTCTTAATTACAGTAGCTTTATATTAAGTTGAAATTATGTAGTATTACATAATTGTTCTAATTAAAAGTTCTGTCTATTTCAGGTCATTTGCATTTCCATATGAATTTTAGAATCAGCTTGTCAATTTCTTTAAAAAAAGCCTCTGATTTTGATGAGAATTGTGTTCAATCTGTTGATAAATGAATTTGGTAAGAGTTAACATCTGATATCTTAATATTGAGTGTTCTGCCCCATGAACAAAGTGAATCTCTCCATTTATTTTATTTTGGTCTTCTTAAATTTCTTTCAGTGATGTGTTGTAATTTTCACTTACAGGTCTTAGGCATCTTTTGACAGATTTTCCTCTATTCCACATTTTTAGATGCTCTTTCAGATGGTATTTTAAAAATTTCAATTTCTAATTGCTCATATGTATTAATTATGTTTTTTACTTTCTGTATTTTATAATACATTGATGTCTTAAGCCCCTTGCAGACCTGGAGCGGGACTGCTTCCACTCAGGGTTAGCTATTTCCTAGAGATAGCAAGAAAATTGCCTGCAAGCACATCTTTGATATGCAGACCAACCAATCTCAAGTCCATACCCGCATCTGCTTCCTCTTATCAGGCTTCTGCAGTCAGGACCACTAAAATTCTCCTGTCCTAAATTCTTCCAGGGCCAGGTACCAGACAACCAGGGATCACTGGTATAACCCAGAGCCTGACAGAATTATTCAAACTCTAATCCTAAACTTGCTCAGCTCACCTACCCTGCCTTTCCCATTCTTTTCTGTGAAACATCACAGAAGTTCTGGCCCATCCTTTCCTCTCGCTCTGTCTGCCTCCTGACTGACCCAGATGCTTCCCCATGTGGCTCTGAGTGACATAGTTTGCCTCTCCTGTTGGGAAATGTGAGTAACAAAATAACTTTTCAGTAACAGTTATCTCCTGATCTATCAGCCTCACCATCCTGAATAAAAACCAAATCCTGGGCGTTTTAAACAATTGTTGCGATAGTGTATAGAAATACTATTGATTTTTGTGTATTGAATTTGTATCTGGCAGCCTTACTAAACTCATCTTTTAATTCTAATAGCTTTTATGTATTTTTCATTGGCTTTTCTAAATAGGCAATCATGTCATCCGCAACTAAAGACCATTTTATTTCTTTGTTTTCAATCTGGATGCCATTTATTCATTCTGGTTTTGTTTTTTTGTGTTTTTTTTTTGTTGTTGTTGTTGTTTTCTTTTGTTTTGGCCTTATTGCACTGGCTATTAACTGTCAATACAATGTTGAATAGAAGTGGTGAGAGTGAACATCTCTGTTATTTCTGATATTAGTGAAAAAGTATTTAGTTTTCACTGTTAAGTCTGTAATTAGTAGTAGGGTTGTTTTGTTTTTGTTTTGTTTTGTTTTGGTAAATGCTGTTGAAGATGTTTCCTTTTGTTCCTAGTTTGCTGAGAGTTGAGGTTTTTTGTTTTTGTTTTTTAAAATCAGGAATAGATGTTGACTTTTGTCAAATGCTTTTTCTATATCTATTGAGATGATCATGTGGTGTTTTTCTTTTTTAATTTGGCAATATGATAAATTGCTTTGATTTTCAAATGATAAACCCCAATTGTTTATGATGTATTATCCTTTTCATGTATTGTTGGATTTAATTTGCTAATATTTTGTTTAGAAATTTTGCATCTGAGTTCATGAAATATATTGGTCTGTAGTTTTCTTGTAATGTGTTTTTTTTTAAAATATATATATTAGATGGGGCGCCTGGGTGGCGCAGTCGGTTAAGTGTCCGACTTCAGCCAGGTCACGATCTCGCAGTCCGTGAGTTCGAGCCCCGCGTCAGGCTCTGGGCTGATGGCTCGGAGCCTGGAGCCTGTTTCCGATGCTGTGTCTCCCTCTCTCTCTGCCCCTCCCCCATTCATGCTCTGTTTCTCTCTGTCCCAAAAATAAATAAAAAACGTTGAAAAAAAAATTTAAAAAAAAAGTAAATAAAATATATATATTAGGGTTATGCTGGCCCCATGGAATGAATTGATAAATAATTGCCTTTTCTTCAACTTTCTGGAAGAGTTTGTCTTGAATAGTATTTTTTCCTTAAACGTTTTGTAGAATTCATCAGTGAAGCCACCTAGACCTGAAGGTTATTTTGTTTTTGTTTTTTGTTTGTTTGTTTTGGTGGTAGTAGGGAGGAGATTTTAATGAACATTTCAGTTTATTTAATAGCTATAAAACTAATTAGGTTCTCCTTGAGTTTGTGTCTTCTAGGAATTTGTCCATATCATTTCCCTTGTTGAATTTATTGGCATAAAGTTGTTACTAGTATTTCCTTTAATGTTTTTAATGCCTGTAGAATCTGTAGAGATTCTCGTTTCTCTCCTTACTGGTATTGGTAAATTGAGACAGATTTTCTTTTTTCCTGATCACTTTGGCAAGTGGTTTATTGCTTTTATTGTTTTCAAACAATCATTTTTGCTTTTCTTGTTCCCTATAATTTTCTTTTTTCTCTTTCATTGATTTTGGCTCTGATCTTTAGTCTTCTGCTTTGGATTTAATTTGCCCTTCTTTTCCTAGTATCCTGGAATCTGAAGTCACTATTATGAAACTTTCTTTTTTAATATAGATGCTCTCCTCAGACTATCAGCCCCACCCAGGTTCCCTCTCCTGTGGCCTGGAACTCAAAACAGTAAACTGGGGTATTTGTAGGACTCATCTTGTTTCCCATCTCCCAGAGATCTCTGTTCTTCGTTGCTTGATGTCCAGTGTCTTGAAAACTGTTCTTATATTTTGTCCAGTTATTTTGGTTGTTTCAGGTGGGAAGGTAAGTCTGGTCCCTGTTACTCTACCTTTGCCAGAAGTAGAAGTGCCAAGAATGTGAGTTTTCAAAATAAATTTTATAAGCGGCATTCTAGTGTGTTGATAGGTTGTAGATGTCTGGTGGAATTATCTTTACTAGGATTTGACCCGTGCTGATAACGTCTGCTTGTCCAAATTAACAACGCAGTGGTGAGAGGCATAGGGATGCTTACAATTCAGATGGCGTTCAGAAGAGTGGCTGTAGGAGATGTCTTTCTAAACTGGGCAAAAAGTAGGCTAAATGAACAGCATTTGGACAATCTAAGAATTCCTAGTTAAGGAATACCCAGAACTATTAATGGAAAAGATTTAGGGCCAACCAGTGGCAAAGCAAAAGAAAAATCAGAGCTGTTAGCAAGTACTGACAAAACAAAACAACTACAATAAAAGACGAAAATTCCAATAAAGGTAAAGTTACATTTGCACAAAATTTACTGATACAAAATTTGTGATTAGATATGACATTGATTTAGAATAGATATTGCAAGCTAATAGTTTTTAAAGACTGAAAAAGAGATATTTATATTTAAAATCAACTATTAAGTAAAATCTGAAATGAAGTGTTTTCCTATGTTTCAGAAATACCTCTGTACAAACACTTATCACATTAATTACAGATCTTTTTTCTTCATTCTTTGAAGCAAGGTCCCAAATAATTTTCATTAAATGAATTGGCCTAGTATGAATTACTTTATGAATTTGAAATGTTTTTAAGTACATATATTTAAAATAATTTATGGCTCACATTTTAGTAATGCAGGCTTGCCTCTTCCCTAACTAGACTAATTGGGGAGAAGAAAGGTGAATGTAGATGGTAATTCTTTTTTCTACATTCTTTTTTCAAGGAAATAATCATATGCTTAAAGATAGAGACATACATAGGGGTGCTTGGGTGGCTCACTTGGTTAAGCATCCAGCTCTTGATTTCAGCTCAGGTCATGATCTCTTGGTTTGTGGGTTTGAGTCCTGTATTGAGATTCACACTGACAGTGTGAAGTCTGCCTGGGATTCCCTTTTCCTCTCTCTCAAAATAAATAAATATACTTTTTTGAAAAAGATAGAAATGTATATGTTCCTAAGCATAATTTGTAATGTTTTACAGATTTGTGGGACCACTGGGTACCATCATCATAAAATGTAAAGACTTTCGAATAATTCAGTTGGATATTCCTGGAATGGAGGAATGTTTGAATATTGCCAGTTCCATTGAGGTAAATGTTTCAGAAGCAAAATCTGGTGAAAGTAAATAGTAATAAAAAAGAACCTTATATTCTTACTCAGTATAGCTCTTATGTTTGTTTTACTAGATATTTGGTCATGTTCTATGACTCACATATTGAAAATTGTTAGGAAAAGCCTCACCCGGATTCATTGTTATAGGAATGTATTAGGATTTTATTGACTTATAGCAGTTTTTAGTGTTCTGGGTTCCTTATTCCTCCAGGTTCACTCATTGTAGCATTTGACAGAATTTCCTTCCCTTTTAAGGCTGGATGATAATCCATTGTATGTGTATATGGTAAGGCTTTTGTTAGAAGTTACTTCTTTTATCAAAGCAAATAATTATCACCAGTGATTATAGCCCTGTGTTTGTTTTTAGCAAGTCTGAAGCAAACAGAATGTTTGCTTGTCTTAGGCAAATGTTTGCCTAAGACTAAAAAGTGTGTTTGTTTTATATTTGTATAAACAGTATTGACTGTCTCTTCAGATTTCAAATAATAGAAATTTTACTTGGATAATTTAATATTTAAATTGAGGAGCTCACTTCATTTTCTTCCCCATTCAAACCAACTATTTTGGTTTACACTCAAATTTTAAATTGCCTTATTTTAAATCATTGCTACTAAATTATAGTAATTAACTTTATGTTTATGGTATTTTCTAGATAATTATAGACACACTGATTTCTTTTCCCTCCGGCTATGAGTAACTAATCTGGTCTTTGTATCCAAAACAAATGCTAGTGGCTTAACTATTAAAAGGAGGCAGAAAGATTTAAAAATCTAGAACTAGGATCATGTTTGGTTTCTAAACAAGAACAGAGAAATAAAAAAACAACTGTTGTGGTGCTGAGAAAATGGCATGTAACCATTTTACCTTCTGCCTTTGCTAAATTTTCCTTAAAGGAAATGAGAAGATGAGCTGAACTGTTTGTCTTACATATCTGTCATTTGGAAGTGACAGAGTAATGTTGATTTGGCCACATTCGCTAACATGGGTAAGAAACACACTGTGGTTTCTAGGCAGTTAAGCTGAAATACTGTCCTGCTCTTTGGGCAAGGAAATGCTACTGACCCATTTCATTTCAGCCTGTTTTTTGTTTTTGTTTTTGTTTTTGTTTTTTTTCAGTTGTGGGTTTGGATTTTCACTGGCCAGTCTGCATTTTTCTTTTTATCTGTTTTATGGGGTACAAGATAGCTGGTTGGTGGGTGTCAGTGAAATCGCATATGGTGAAGGATAGTGGTGAAGAAATATAGGGCAAAGCTATTAACCCACTTTCTGATTGCATTTACTTAGCTTTGTTAGCATCTGACACTAATCAGTTGTTTCATTAGCTGTATATAGTACCTAAAATCCTTTAGAAACTGATTATATAGAAACCCTTACAGCTGAAAAGAAGCTATGAATTATGAGCCATTCTCATAATTTGACCTTAGGAAGTGAATGCTCTACTGGTTATTTTTACAACGTAGTAAATGTCCATAGTGAACGTGGCCTCTTGCCTTTTGCTGGTATCTAATTTCTTTCCCATCTCCCCTATATATCTTAATATAACTTGGAAGTAATAAGTGAATTTCTTATATAGCACAGTTGAACTGTTCTTTGCAATCAAGAATCCATATACCCAAATATATTCTGCTGCCATAAATAGAATCCCACTGGAGTAATAACTTGCAAGTGCTCGTTTTTCTAAATCATAGTAGGAAGGCTGATGAAGCTTTTTTCTATGTAGTTTCTACTGTCTTTTGGAGTTGAAATGTTTTCAGTTCTTTCAGCGTTAATGAGTTTAAAGGAAAAGTCCTACCTCTAGCGATACAAATTGTGATCACAACAAGTCAGAATATGAGTGCTTATTAACTGCTAAAGTGACTGCTGACTTGCATTAAAAATCACGGGGCACCTGGGTGGCTCAGTTGGTTAAGCGTCCGACTTCGGCTCAGGTCATGATCTCACCCTCTGTGAGTTCGAGCCCCGCATTGGGCTCTGTGCTGACAGCTCAGAGCCTGGAGCCTGCTTCAGATTCTGTGTCCCTCTCTTGCTCTGCTCCTCCCCCGCTCATACTGTCTCTCTCTCAAGAATAAATAAAACATTTTAAAAAATTAGAAAAAAAAATCATGATTGTACCAGTATGCAAACAGTAGGAGGTTCCTTAAGAAATTAAAAATGGAACTACCATGTGACCCAGCAGTCTCACTTCTGGATATATAGCCGAAGAAAACAAAATCATTATCTCAAAGAGGTATCTGTACTCCACTGTTCATTGCAGCATTATTCATATTACCAAAATATGGAAATACCCTAAGTATCTGTCAACAGATGACTGGATAAAGAAAATGTGACACGTAATCTATATATATAATGGAATATGATTCAGCCTTAAAAAACAGCAATCCTAATATTTGTGACAACATGAATGAAATTGGAGGGCTTTGTGTCAAGTGAAATCAGACAGACAAGGCAAATAATTGCATGTTATTACTTATATGTGGAATCCTAAAAAACAAAAACAAAACTTAATAGAAACAGAGTGGAAAAGTGGTTGTTGGGGGCTGGGGAAATAGGGACAGGTTGGTAAAAGTTACAAACTTGCAGTTATAAGATGAATAAGGTCTTAAGATCTAATATATACCATGGTCCCTCCAGTTGATAACACTGTATTGTATAACAGACATTTTCTAAGAGAGTAGAACTTAAATGGTCTTAACAACAAAAGGTAAATATGTGAGGTGATGGACATGTTAATTGACTCAATGGGGGAGTCCTTTCACAGTGTATCAGATCATCACTTGAAATATCTCTTAGTTTTGGTAGTTTTACTTCAGCAAAGATGAAAAAAGATTTTTTTTTTTTTTAAATTTTTTTTTTTAACGTTTATTTATTTTTGAGACAGAGAGAGACAGAGCATGAATGGGGGGAGGGTCAGAGAGAGAGGGAGACACAGAATCGAAAGCAGGCTCCAGGCTCCAAGCTGTCAGCACAGAGCCCAACACGGGGCTCGAACTCGTGAACCACGAGATCATGACCTAAGCCGAAGTCGGACGCTTAACCGACCGAGCCACCCAGGCGCCCCAAAAAGATTTTTTAAATATTGCAAAAAATATCTTAAACCAATTAAAAAAATAAACCAATTAAATAAAATAATGTTTGTCCTGAACGATGACAGTTCTGGCCTAGGTCAGATGTGGACACTGGCCATTCTGTTTCTGTTTAGTGTGATTGGAAGCCAAAGACTCTACAGAAGTGGATAATGGATTATCCAGCCCTGCTTCTCCATATTTTCTGTTTTATGAGCTCTGGGGGGAAGGTGTCATGATTTATGAACAGACAGAAGAATAGCTTTGGATGGGGATGTTTTTGTTAAGCTGCTGAACTACATGTCCAGTCTATTTTTTACTAAGGCTTGGGCCCATTCTTTTGTGAGACTGATCCTTCTGTGACCTAGTGGGAGGTAGCTTTATTCTGAGAGTTTCGGGGAGCTAGCATGATGTTGGGGCCCCGCCCTCCTCCAGAAGAGTGTCTCCATAGTTCCTGGAATTTGAATTATGCTAATTGATTTTGGTGCCTTTTTTTGCAGCCATAGAAGTGCTTTTCATAACTCCCCTGTCAGAAGGTTGAAATAGCCTCCATCACCTGGAGGATATTTCATCTGTCTGTTCCTCCCATTTAGTCAGATTTTCTTGGTGGTGTTACCCAGAATTCAAGAGTTCCAGATGAACACAGGCTCTTTTGGGGACCACAGAGTTAATGCCGCAGGTTGAGAATGGGTCATTGTAACATAAAGATAATATGATACATGACCAAATGGCATATCATTCTAAGGAGGTAGAACATGAACATTGATGGAGCATATGTGGTGCATATGATATGTGAAGCATATAATTGCCAAGATCAATTTCAGGGTTTATCATGTGCCAGGCACTATTATTAACAGGCCTGTTATATACGTTATCTTTCTTAATGCTACCAATAGCTCTATGAGATAGGTACTTTAATTCCCCCCATTTTAGAGCTGAGGAAATGGAGGCATTAGAGTGGTTACATTAGTTAACCATTATTGCACTGGGATCTGGAATTTGAGTCTAGCAGTTTGGCTGTAGTCTGACTCTGGCCACTTACCTGTGACACCCTTATTTATGGTTATTAACAGACACTGATTTTATGTAATTTACATATGTTGATACAGTTGATGGCTGGGATTTTGAGCCATGACCTTGTTTGCTAACAAAACGTGTTTATTTTCTGATTTCCAGAAATATTTGGACCTTTTTATTAGGCTTTGTTAAGTGGTGTCAAAAGGAGTTAGTTTTTCTCCTAGAATAGGTGTACACACTTTTCTTGTCCTTGTGTTCATTCAGCAAATGATAACTGAGTGTATGTTATGTGCCAGATACATACCTTGTTAGATGCTAAAAGCATGGAAATTAGCTTCAATAAACTATATATCTAGTGGTAAGTACAATGCTGGAGAAATATATTGGGTGTGTATCATTATTGATCGTATTTAATACCAATTTGGCAGTTAGAAAGTGTTGAAATTGCAGTATGTTCCTTTTCCTTTCTTTAATTTCCTTTTTATGCCCTAGGCACTGTCTACCTTGGACTCTATCACTCTGATGTACCCTTTCTTTTACCGACCCATGTTTGAAGTGATAGAAGATGGCTGGCATTCTTTCCTTCCTGAGCAAGAGTTTGAACTCTACTCTTCAGCTGTGAGTTAACTTTTCTGAGAGATCTATATGTAATGAGAAATAACCCAGCACCTTACTTGTGAAAATGATCACTTCCTTTTGACAAGTAGTAAGGTGTTGTTGGCTTATCTATGCCTAAAAGAAATTTCTGGTAGTGATTAGTAATGCAACTTCTGCCATTCAGAGATTTGCGTAATTTATTTTCAATGCTGTAGCTCAAGTGATTTTTCCACTAGTAGATTTGCTGTATTCCAAATATTACTTTTTTAATTTCGAAAATGACATTGATAAAACATTAAGATCTTCATAAAGGTAATCCTGACATGTTTGAATTAATTGTTGATTATTTTAAAAGTGTCTCCATAGATACAATTTTATATGTAGTAATTAGGGTCTGAGCTATCCCAAAGAAGTCTGTTGAACCCACTGTGTACCTTAGACAGCATTAGAGAAACATAGATCACGTTTGTTTCTGGGGGATAATTTTTATGTTTTTAGAACTTGGGTTATTAAGACCATGTTACTAGAACGAGGTTTTCTTTCTCATTCTTCACTATTTTACTTCTTTCTTTTTCCATCACACCTATGTAAATGGACCCGGTGGGGGTGGGGCGGGGCATGGGGATGAAGAAGTAGGGACCAGGGTGCTATGTAATTTAAAGAATAAAGATGTTCAGGGGCGCCTGGGTGGCGCAGTCGGTTAAGCGTCCGACTTCAGCCAGGTCACGATCTCGCGGTCCGTGAGTTCGAGCCCCGCGTCAGGCTCTGAGCTGTCAGCACAGAGCCCGACGCAGTCCTTGAACTCGTGAGCTGTGAGATCATGACCTGACCGAAGTTGGACGCCCAAACGACTGAGCCACCCAGGTGCCTGCATAGTAAACACTCTTAAATGCATGATGCTTTTCTGTTGTGTCAGCTGCCACCTAATGGTTACCTTAGGGGAATCCTCAATTATTTCCTAAGTGGCAAATGGCTGTCACATGGTGGTCAGAAAGAGAGATGTCTGGATGATTTGCTTGGTTACCCAAAACTGTCCATACAGATGACCTGCCTGTGATTTATCTTGGAGATAGGTGCTGTGAGTGAACCAGTGTAATTCTACATTCTACAACTCAACATTCAAGTTAGTCTCCTATTCTGTGCAGAAATCTCCTGTTCGAAAAAACAACCATGATGTTGTTGTTTAGCCTCTGCTTGAACTCTTAGTGCGGGAGAATTCGCAAAAACACAATGATGCCCCGTTTGGGGACAGCTCTTATGCTCAGCTGAGCTCCGTCTCCCTGTACACAGAGCCAATGTTTCTGATGTTACCTTGTGTTACCCAATTTATCTTATTCCTCTACCATGAACTGTTCCTCAAATTAAGAACTTTTATGTCCCCGTGAAGTTTTCTTTTCTGTAGATTAAATGCCAGTATTTACCTCAACTTTTCTTCTAGTAACAGTGACCTCAGGTCCCCACACTGTCCTGGTTGCTCTTCCCAACAGGGCCTTCAGTTTGTCATTTATTCTCTTAAACATATGGTACCCATAGCACTTGGTATAGATTGGAACTATGACTGGTACTTTAAGGCAGCTTAAGTTTGAATCAGCATTTTTGAGAATTAAGTTACTAATGAAATAAGTGAAAATTCCTGCATCTCACATGTGTTACTAAGGGATCCTCCCTATATTTCTGTTATTTTATTTACATACTAATTTTTACTCAGATTCGGTACTTCTCCTTGTAGACATTTTCTTTTTGGCTCAGCTAATTATTTAAGCACTTTGTATGTTTGAAGTTCTGGTATTTTCCTGCAAATTTTGTAATCCACAGATTTAATGAGAACATCTTCAATGCCTTGTTTGAGGTATTACTAGATTATGGAAATTTAAGATGAGCAAAGCATGGTTCCTTCCTTCTACTTGTTCAAAGTCTAGCAATTATTTAAGTAATCAAGTACAACAAAAATAAGTGCTGACAAAAGTATCCACAAGGCACAGGGAAAATGACATAATTAAATTTGTGTTACAAAAAATCAATTCTGAAGCAAAATGCCAAGAAACTGCTTAAGAGGCTACTGTAATAATATAAAGGTGGTTGGATATAGCACAGAAAGATTCAGAAAGTAGAATTAAAAGGCGTTGGTGACCCACTTACTGGATGTGAAAAGGATGCTACCACTGAGATAGGAAAGTCAGAAAAAGAAATAGTGTAGAGGGAATGAGTTCAGTTTAGTTTGGGGCATGGCAATTCGAATGGCCTGTATGGTACATGTCATTGAATGTATACAAGAGATAGTCTAGAGCTTACTTGAGGGATGTGTTAAAAATGAAAAACTGAGACTAACCCGCAAATACATTGTAGAAACCATGAGGAGAAACTGAGATTGCCTAAGGAGCATCCAAAGTAAAAAGGATGCTAAGGATTGAACCATTTAAGAGGTAAATGGAGGAAAAATCCAAGAAAAGAGCAAGTTTCACATAGGAGGGAGTCAACAGTGTGGACAGCTTCTTATTCATTGTTTATTTTCTCTTTCACGGCGTAGAATATAAGCTGCTAGAATATTAACTTTACAAGGGCAGGAACAATGTCATTCTTGTTTTCTACTGTATTGCTAGCATATGATCAACGAAGAGTAAATATTTGTTGAGTGAATGAATGTAGGAATGTGTATTTATTCAGGATAGGGCAGAAGGACAGGAAAGCCTTCTATGTATCATTAAAAATCCTCTGCCAGGTTAGACATCTATCACTTAATATTCTTTGAGTAAGTTTTTTTTTTTTTTTTAACCATGTAAAAACTTTATAATATTAGCCAGTCCCTACTTCATTATTATGTCCAAAAGAAATGTGTGGTATTGAATTAGTACTAAAACTAGCTATCAGGATATTGTGGGTTGCATCCCAGATATATTATTGGCTGCTTGACTTTCTGGGACTCCGATTCCATGTCTACAAAATGAAAGTATTGAACAAAGTGATCTCTAGAGTTCCTCCTATGTTAAGCATGCTTTTTATTCTAGAATATCATGAAAAATTATTTCAGGTACTTTGTTGAAGTACACATACACAGTATATGTGTACTCCCCCAATCTACCACTTTAGAAATTATATATAAAAAGGTGATGAGGTCCTCCTTTTGATTGAGTAGCTCCTATCTGACAAGACCTCCTGCAGAGATAGATGACAAACTATGAATAAAACACAAAAAACTGCCATCTGAAAGCTCTGGTAATTGAACAGAAAGCAGCATTATGAATCAAAACATAGAGACAGTGAATGCCAGAGTGGGATTTCTATTTGGGCGGCTTTGTCCTCAGGTCAGCATAGTTGTGGCATTGATAATGTGGAACAGCTAACGTTCCAATAGAAAGCCCACCTTCTTCTGGTGGGAGGAGCCGGGTGAACGGTTTGGGGCAACCAGAGAGCCAGAGAAGGGGAACCTTGATTTTGTGTGCAGCCTTGAACTTCGGGCTGATCTCGAACCTTGCTTGCATGGGGTAGACTGAGATCAGTCAGAACCAAGATCTGAGCTGCCATGCACCTCAGGTGTGACAGAATTTGCAGTTTATTTTATTTTATTTTTTTTCCAACGTTTATTTATTTTTGGGACAGAGAGAGACAGAGCATGAACGGGGGAGGGGCAGAGAGAGAGGGAGACACAGAATCGGAAACAGGCTCCAGGCTCTGAGCCATCAGCCCAGAGCCCGACACGGGGCTCGAACTCACAGACCGCGAGATCGTGACCTGGCTGAAGTCGGACGCTTAACCGACTGCGCCACCCAGGCGCCCCAAGAATTTGCAGTTTAAATCTAATGAAGTTATTTGCCTACTGAAACAAAAACCATGAACTCTCTTCGGAAGACTATAATAGAATGCAGGTTTTCCACAACATAACATTGACAATGTCCAGGATACAATCTAAAATTGAGCTAGGATATTATGACCCATTCTGAAGAAAAAAGTTGACAAGTATCAACCCCAAGATGGGTCATATGTTCAAATTATCACACAAAGACTAAAAAGCAGCTCTTAAAACTGTCCAATTTCTCAGAAAGGAAAATATGCTTAAAACCAAAGAAAAGACAGATAATATCAACAGAGAAATAGAAAATATTAACCTGAAATTAAAAATTCACTAGCTGAGCTAAAAAGCAGAGATGACAGAGGATAGAACCGATGAACTTGAAATTAGAGCAATAGAAATTATTTAGTAAAAAGAAGAGGGAGGGAAGAAGTTACACTAAAACAAGCAGAGCCTCAGAGATGTGGAACAATATCAAAATGCCTAGCATATGTGTAATTGGAGAACGAGAAGGAGAGACTAGAGAGAGTAAGGTAGAAAATATATTTAAAGAAATAATATTTAAAACTTTCCAAATTTGATGAATGAATATAAATTCAACAAGATTCAGCAAGCCCCAGACAGGATAAATTTGAAGAAAACCATGCATAGGCACATCATAGTCAAACCATCAAAAAACAATGGTGAAGAGATCTTGAAAGCTTCCAGGTAAGAACACCACATTACATACACAGAGACAACAATTTAAATGAGCGTGGACTGTTGATCAGAAATCATGGCAACCAGAAGAGAAAACTGTAAAGTGCTGAAAGGAACAAAACCTGCCAACCTTGAGTTTTGTATGTGGTGAAAGTATCTTTCAAGAATGAAGGTGAGACATTTTCAGATTAAAAGGAAACTAAGAATTTGTTGCCAAGAAGACTTTACCATAAGAAATGTTAAAGGAACTTCTTCAGACTGAAGGGAAATAATACCAGAGGGAAACTTGAATATTTAGACTTATTGAAGAATATTGGAAATGCTAAATACCTAGGTAAATACAACAGGCTATTTTTTTTTTCCTTTTTAATGTCTTTAACATATACGTGATTATTTGAATAAAGGTTACAGCTTGCCTCTGTGATGTTAATAGTGTATGTAGATCTATTCTGTTTGGAAATTGTGGCTTTTACTAAAGGTGACTGCTATGGTGTGGCTGTTTGGGTAAATCTACTTGTACAATTTTAAGGTTTTT